AATTCGGCAGGTGGATAAGAAAAGTGAGTGGGGTTGGTTGGGTAGTTCGCTTGTTAATCACACTTTGTCTGCATGGTTGTTTTGTTGCAGCACTTTTGTCAAGACTTCCTGAAGGGATGTTCGTAGCATGTTCCCCGCATAGTAGCAAATGTCCTTTGCCGCAATACCATAAGCGTTTGCCGCCGATTGGACATGCAGCCCCAAGAGCGCACGTGAAAGCAGGGGCGCTGCCAGGGTGGAAGTGGATCGGCGCGTTTTGTGGTCAAAAAGCAACCGCTGTGGAAGAAGGCTGCGCAGTTTGCTACTGCAAGGTTCCGGAAGCTTTTGGTCGCCGCGGTTTTGTCCCGCTTGCTGAACTTGTGGTATGCCAGATGGTTTAGTCCCCGATTTGCCCTAGCAAGAGCAGCGTGGTCTGCTGGAAAGTGCTTAAGGAGTGGTGAGGTCGTCACATCAAGGCCACGTGAAGAAGCTTTCGTGTCAGAATTCATCAACTTGCCAGGTCCTTTCGTGCGTCAAGTCCCTTCTTTCCAAGTAGTCAGCGGCTCACAGGGAATCGGAAAATCCACAATGCTTTCAAGATTGCTTTTTGGATACTGGAAAGATGCTTTGTGGAAGAGGGGCAGATGGGTTCTGCCAATCGAGGCAGATTTGCAACCAGATGAGAAGCTCGAGCTCAGTGGTATGCTGATACAGGCCTTGAGTATCCAGAAGCTGCCAGACAACTATCCCTCAACAGACAGAGCAACTGAATGAATGGAGCATCGCATGGACAGGCGGGCCTGTGATCATTTACCTGCAGCTCACCACCAAAAACCGCGCGGATGAGTTCAGCTACAACGAGTGTGACACCATCGCTTCCACAGTGGGCGCATTCGCGCGGCGTCTCACCTACGACAATGCGCTTTGCAAGTTCATCGTTGAGGTCAGCGTGTCCCTCATAGCAGACAAAATCCACGAGAAGTTCAACATGTCCGAACTTCTGGTCGTGCAGCCACTGCCCTTCGCTGAGTTCGTGAAGGTGATGAAGACTGACAAGCTGCTGTCAGAGCGCTTGACGCAAGTTGTGGGCAAGGATGCAGGCCAGATAGAAGAAGTCCTCAAGTGTTACTACCTCCGCGCGGGTGGCAACTTTCGCGACCTAGCCTTGCTGCTCAGGAATGTGGCGCGGGCTGGTTCGAAGGGTGGTGCGACGGCAGTGAAAACCCAGATTGAGGAGTGGTACCAAGACAAGATAAAGCCCCTCTGCGACTGTCTTGCTCTTCAAACCAGCAATAAGCAGTCGAGGTTCCAAGGATTTTTGGAAAGTGTAGCAAAGGCTGGTCCC